GTGCCACTATTCGGCTACCAGTTACTACTAGGTACGCAGGCTTGGGTTTCCTCATCCGTACAATGGAGATATTAACAGCAGGGAGGGGAGTCAGCGTGGGGGCCGGGGAGGGCCTGGAGCAGTAAGAGGGCTCAGGTTCTCTGGGTGTGCAGTGAGGGCAGTGTGTGCTAAGAGCCTGGGAGGTTGCCAGGGCAGTGGCCTCAGGTGCAGGGGACAGCAACTGAAGAGTCTTGAGGGTGGTCCACCATAGGCTACCAGGACCCCCAGGCCAGACCAAGGAGCTTAGAATCCACCCAAAAGGTGAAGAAGAGCTTCAGGGAAGAACAATTTAGACTCTCAAAAGAAAGCAAGCTGGGTGCAGTGGCGCACGCCTATAATCCCAGCGGCTCTGGAGGCTCAGGCAGGAGGATCGTGAGTTCAAAGCCAGCCTCAGCAAAAGTGAGGCACTCAGCAACTCAGTGAGACCCTGTCTCTAAATAAAATACAAAATAGGGCTGGGGGTGGGGCTCGAGTGCCCCTGAGTTCAATCCCCGGTATCCTCCCCCAAAGAAAAGGAGCTGTGATTTGCTGCTGGGCGCAGGTGCTCAGGGGCTGGGGGCAAGCCTTATGCAGACTGGCTGGGGTCACCCCAGTACCAAGCCTAGACAGAGAGAACGGGCAGCACAGGAACTTCCTGCTTCAGCCCAGGATTGCTGTGCAGACTTTAGGTGGAGCCTGAAGGTGAGGTTCAAACTAGAGCCAAACGAGAGGGCTCCGGAGGCCTCAGCCACGATGTAGGGGGGATGATGTTGGGTAGGGGGTCCCTCGCGTCCCAGGTCAGGGACTAGAGTCCAGGGAGGGAGAGAAATTCTATGCAGGTTTTGGAGAGGCTACTTGCTCCGCAGGCTTGGGTTTCCTCGCCTGTACAATGGAGATGTTAACAGCAGCTACTCGTCGAGGTAGCTCTGAAGATAAAACGGGATCTTCACGCCAGGGGCTCAGAACCAAGCACAGTGAGTGCCAGAGAATCCAAGTTGTGACTCTCAGGACCACTGGGTGCAAAAACAAAGCAGATGAGCTGGTATTGAGGAACCTTTCCTAATAGTGGCACTTGCACCTTAGATGCAAAGAGGCTCAGTTAGGGCAGAAGGGGAGGGAGCCCAGGGATGGCTTTGGTGGTAAAGACTGTATACGATCAGTGCATGTCGCCCTTCCATAAAGATTGAGTGACAGTCAGCATAGACTTGTCCCCGGTACAACAGACAATGATAACCGTCACCATTTACTGAGAGTGTGTTGCGCCAGCCACCACTGTAAGCACTTTACGCTTTACGCGTATGAACTCAAAAGCAGACCAGAAAGCCTTTCATATTATCACCATTTTCCAAAGAAGGAAGAAGCTGAGTTCGGACAAGTGAAGCAGCCCTGCTTGAGGGCCCACAGCTCCAAAGTGGAGAGACCTGAGCTGGGCGGCCGGGCTGCAGAGCCCACGCCTCGGCCAATGCCCACCCCATCATGTGGCCTCAGAGAGACAGGGAGACGGGCCAACCCGACGGCCCCGAGCCGCACAGAGCACCTTCTGTATACACAGCCTCGGCTTCCCTGTCCTCTGTCCTCCTCTATGTCCCCCTTGGTACTTATCGCAGGGCATAGCGCCTCGTTGACATGTTTACGAAGGCACTTCAAGTGCCGGAGCCCTTTGGAATGTGAGATCCGCAGGGTGGGCAGGGGCTGGGGTCTGATTCCTTCCCCGATGTGTTTCTGGGACTTTGGACAGTCCCCGGAACACAGTACACACTCAAAAATCATTTGTGGCGCCTCTGAATTCCTTCTGGTAAGGGAGACAGATAGTTCGTGAATGAACAGATATGGTTCCAGGTGCAGATCAGAACTGGGGCGGGGGACAAAAAGCAGAGTAAGGGAGGGGGGAGTGGGGGGCTGGCTGTTCTAGG